TCTTCTCCACACCGAACGCACCATATCCTCGAAATTTCTGTCGAAATTTACCGACAACAAAAACATACGGATTTCCAAAAAAAAAAAAAAATTCAAATCCATTCCAAATCTTACCAATTTCCATTCAAATACCGAAATTCTTGTAAGATCTATATCTGATATACATGGATATAAAAATTTTAAATTTTTATCGCCGTTCATGTGGTTTTTCATAAACAAACCTCGGGCTTCTCGGTCCCGAAAATGATCGGGCCGGAATTGAATCATTTTTTTTCCTTCAAAGTTCATGTCTGAATAATTAAGATATTTCTATGTTCGTCGGCCGTCGGATTCCAACCATAGATGAAGAGCACGAAACAAATCGACTTTTTTTTTTGTTTTTTGTTAAATCGTAAATTAATTTGACTTTGTACTTAATATATATGTGTTAGTATATTCTCGTGTTCAGATATGTGTAACATTATAATTTTTTTCACAAATTATCAAAAAATTCCGATAGTACTGTAAGATCTATGTCAGATTTAGATAGATCGGCCTGAAAGTTTGAGTTTTACGAACATGCTTTTGAAATCAACAATTAATTAAACGTTTGTACATAACAGATCTTTCATATAATTTTCATATACCTATCAATCTTTTATTTATTTATTTTTTTTAAATTTTGTACTGAGAATTTGTATGATATGGTGCACTGGTGTATTTTTTGTTCGGTTTTACATGGTCTAATCAATATTTTTTCATCTTGTTTAATCGTTTGCGAGCATGGTCCGATTTGAAGATATAGTTAACGGCGAAATAGAAGACAATTTATCAATTTGAGGTCGAACATTCAACATGTTTAAATTTACGATGAACGATGAAGAACAACGATCGAAGACTACACAAAGGTTCGACTTTTTTTGGATTTAGTTTTTGCAATCGTCCATATATATTAGGTTTTTTGAAATTTTCTTTAAATTCGATGTACAATTGAAAGGTAAAAAAAAAATTTTAGAGCGGCCGTACAGTTCAAATGGAAGCTGAGGAAAAACACAACAATCGGAGTACATACTAAAGGATTATAAAAACAGAAATCTGTATCAATATACAACAAAACTTATAAACTACTATTTTCTATATATGATCATGTTATTTAGATATTATTGATAAAATAATATATAAAACAACCATACAATTATTAGTCATTTTTACTTTGTATTAACAATTTTTTTTTTATTTTTTTTTTCTGTACAAACTGCATGTCTATATATGGAGATGGAACAAACAAAATAATGAACACGGAATCAATCAACACACTTTTTATGGCAATATAGTCTACAAACAGGTACGGTATTCGATATTGATAAATAAATAAGAATAGCACTAAGATTCAACAAAATATAATAGTAAACAATGACATACCGAAAAACCATATTGTAGTTAAGCAATTCATACTACAAAAGTTAGGATGAAATTTACCTTGGAATATGTTCACTTTATTGGTTGTTTTGCTCATTTTGTTGAATCCCTTGTGTGTTGAATTGATTGTCTCTGAGTTGAGCAATGTCTTTACAAAATTGTGCATGAAATATGATTAGTTGGTTATAGTAAAAATTAATAAAATTCTGACGCAATTAAAAGGTTGGATAACAGCATCAGTTTTTGAAGTATGTGGTATTTAAAATCAATTACCAACTGAAGCTTGAATGATGGCATTATTCCTTTTAATCCGTTTCTTGAATTCTTTATCTGCTGAACTTGATGAACTTGTACTACTTTTTTTTCTGAATGCTGAACTTGCTGGAATTGTACTGCTTTTCGGTCTGAATGCTGAACTTGCTGGAGTTGCACTGTTTTTGTTCTGAGTGTAGAATTTGTTGGACTTGTACTGCTTTTTGTTCTGACTACATCTCGGTCCAATATAGAGCCTTCTATTCAAACACTATAAACATTAAATAAATTGATTAGTAATGCAAAACCAACAAGCATAAGTTTAATATTAGAAACATAATGAGATATTTACCTGCAGTTCGACCTTTGTTTTTATTAAATCCATTAGATCTTGGACTGATGAGATTTTTCTTTCACAGCTATATATCGTATCCTAAACACGGTTATGTATATCAAAGTGTATCCCCATACTTGTAAATAATATATGAAAGTAAAGATACAGTCTTCCTAAAAATCTTATAAAAAAATGCATGGAAATAAACCATAAATTACCGCACTATTTAGTTTTTCATTTGAATAGGTGACTAAATAATAGGGAAGATAGTTATTGAATAGATTCGATTTGCTTCCTTATATATCTCATTTATAAATATGAGTCATATAAAATTGATATTTATATATAAATCCATATCGATTTGTTTCCTTACCTATCTCCTATATAATTAGGACGCATATAAAATAGATATTTATTTATAATTCTGCCGGATATATATAATTGTATTACATATAACTAATTTTTACGCATCTATATATAATACTGACTATTATTATATGTACAATAGGTATGGTAAATAAAATCTATTAAAAAACAATGCAAATTCCCGACCAGTATATAATATCACGCACGTATATCTAACATTCATTTTCACACATGTTTTAATCAATTAGATATACAGTAATATGTTATATGTACATAAAAAAAATATTAAACTGACAAATATCTATATATATGTATGGATATATAAAAGCAAATTTTGCATTAAATTAATACAAATTTACTAAAACAAAATTACTTCATCTAATACATTTTACTAAAATACTATATGTGGTTTACTTTCTAAGTTGTATTTATATGCAATATAATAATGAACTTTATATTGGAATAATACAGTCGAAGCAATATAAATGAATATTAACTTATTTTGGTAATAAAGCAATAATTGAATAACGGCAGAAAATTTATCTAACCAAAACAACAGTATATATGCTGCATTTTATTCATATAATATCCAAAATCATAAACATTATTGAAATAATAATAAAAGATTGACAGCTATAACTGATGCAATCTTGAAAATTAACATCAACCTAATAATTGAAAACAAACAAAGACGTCCAAATTCAAGTACTTCAACAAACAGAAATCAACCTAAATATTAATAATATAAGTAAAATAGAATCCTCAGCCGCAAAGCCTAGACATCGACCTTCATCTTTCCTTTATCATTGGAAGCATCCACCCTCGACTTTCCTTTATCAGTGGAAGCAGATTGAGCTGTTGTTGATATGGTTTTTGGTAAACCGAATTAAGCGATATTTATTAAGCATTTATACTCAGTAAGTTGGAGATTATGTTCGTACAAGAAGGAAAGCATCTTCAAGAATCCTAAAGCAATAACGTGTTAGGGGAAACCGACATCTTTCTCTTTCAAAACCGACATCGCATATCAGTTGCGACATGTCGGATGCAACATATCGGTTAAGACATATCGGTTTAGGATAATTGAACCGATATCTATGACTTGCCACGTCGACACCATAAGGCGGCGCCAACTCAGCAC